TTCCTTCCTTCCTTTTCCTTCCTTCCTTCCTTCCTTCCTTCCTTCCTTCCTTCCTTCCTTCCTCTTTAAATCTTTTTTGGTAGTTACAGCTTCAAAGCTACAGAAATGTGTGTTCTCTTTCATTGACTTGACATTTATGTCATCTTAATCTAAAATTACTTTGTTTCATAGTTCCTGTTTCATCCTCTGGCTTCTGTCCACGACATGTTTTTAAGTACACTTGTCACTTTCTTCTTTAGTCAATATTAGTTGCTGTTATGTTATGTTTATGGTAGAACAGTACATGCAAATATTGCTAAGCCCTTGTCCCCCACCCAATAGCCATAAGACTGATTCAGGATGACAGATGGTGTTTTCAGTTTCCAAATTCTTTGCTCTAAGCATATCTTATAGCAGCTGCTTCTGTGTTTCTTATTTTGTCTCCTAGCAGCCTCCCAACCCCGATTGACCCAGGTTTTTGCTTCATTCAACAGTTCTTCACCCATAGAGCCTGAGAGCTGGAGCCTTAAAGCAGATGCTAGAGCTGGAATCCCACCAGTGTCATGTACCACACATCAAAAGAGTTGGAATTCCACACAGCACCCCTCCGAGTGTTGCGTTATGATGCAAAAGTATGCATGCCTATGGTGATGTGAATATACATGTTTTCTGGCCATAATTTTAGATATATAGACTATATCTTACATATCTTTATTTACTCTCTATCATCATGTACATAAATGAAATGCATCTATTTAATGACAGATGAAAGTATTGAAATCAACTCTTTCAGGTCAGATGCAATTTGGCAAAAGCATTGTGAGCCTTGAAGCAAAGGACCAGGGCTGCCAGCATTTGTGCTTTTTAACAGCAGCACCTCAGTGACTCAGCTATTAGCTCAGAATTGAAGCCAGCACTCCAGGGTAGTCATGAGGATGCACAGGAACTTGCAAACCCTCTGATTAGCACATGCTTTTCTTAATTTACAGCTGAATCTTTGGTTGCTGAAGCCAGAAGCCCTTCACTGTCTCTATTTTATGAGTGTGTTAAAAATACCTCGAAGTAAATAGAAAAGCTGTTTCATGTATTTTAGGGCAGTTTAGTCTTCTCCTCTTTGTCTGCTCGTCCTTAACTGAAAAGAGACAAAGGACTATGAAGCGCAAGGAGTACCTCAAAGCCCCCTGAGCATTTCAAGTGTTTTCCTGTACAGGAGTGGGTGTGAAGGTTGTGGGGATGGCCAGGCTTAGGAGAGGATAAACGGTTTGCAAATGCAGCTTCTGCTTTATGACTCCTGACTTAGAGGCCCAGCGTGATGTTTTCAGCAGTAAATCACTATTTTCAGAAAGAGGGAGTTTAGCATGTTGCCTCACACCAGCTTTTTTTTTTCTGCCTGTGACCTTTCCAAAGACGTAGTGCAAACAGCAAAAAATCATAATAGAAAAGGAAGTACTGAGCTAAGATCAAGGTCTTATGACTCTTTGAGTTTTCATATGCTCAGAGCTTCACCCAGCCTGGCCTTGAACACTTCTGGGGATGGGGCATCCACAGGTGCTCTGGGCAACCTGTGCCAGGGCCTCACCACCCTCAGAGGGAAGAACTTTCTACAAAGAGCAGCATGTTTGTTAAAGGCAGGCCAGGGAGAGGATTATGCTCTGTTTTGGGGTTATTTTAATGATCACTGGTATTGCTGGGGAATTTGTTTTCCATTAATTTCAACTGATTAGCTGAGGAGTCAATGATGTGTGATTCACATTGAGCAGTGATGATTCAGCAAGGCAGAAAACAAATACATGTCAATAACATCCCCCCAGGGATTTTGCACTTCAGGGAATGTCCCTGGATGACCAGTGGCTCTTATTGCCTTCCTTTGGGCTCTGGAAATAGCTTCCAGAAGCACAAGGAGCTGCCTTCAGCACGAGTTTCTGCTTTGCAGGTGGGAGGCTGTGCAGAGCCCAGTGAATCCCAGAACAGCCCCGGAAAGCAGCAGCCATTCTTCCCCTCTCAATGCCCCTTCACAGCCCTCACTGATGACACCATTCAGCTGCATAAATGAGGCCTCCTCTGGGCACCCAGCATCAACAGAGGAAGGAGAAAAAAATCCCACATCCTCAGAGACATCCTCAGAACAGTGGCATTTTCTTGTGAGTCCAAGAATAATGACGACTTCTAATGTTATTTATGGCTTTAGATTTAAGATCACATGTTGGTGCTGTGCTGATTTGCACAGGAAAAAACAGACTGCCATTTAAAAGTAATATTACTGTAACTTTTAAATAACATATGGCTCTACATTAATCTGGGAATTGCAATGTTAAGCATTATCAGTCAATGACCTCAAAAAGACTCTGGGGAAAAAAAAAAAAGAGTATTAAAGTCCATTCTGGTGGAAGTGAAAATACTCACAGAGGGGACAAGGAATATGACTTTCAACAAATTTATAGAAGAGGTTTTATTTCTGAACAAGATGAGACTAGAAGAAGAGTAATGGAGAAGACTCCTTTAGGGTCTTGACTTGCATCCAAGGGCCAGTAATTGACATTTTTATAACTGTTGTATCACTTCCCATTCTTCTGGAATCTGAAATAAATACTGAACGTGCCTCCGAATCATCAGGTGGGTGCTTCAGAGGCCTCAAAATCACCCAGTCATTGCAAGAAAGCACTGACAGTACTCCAAGTATTGTGACAGTCTTTTCTGTAAAAATTGTCACCCACACAGACAGAAACTAGAAACTCCTTTAACTCCCTCACAGCATTTTTTAAACCATATGGAATTATATTATCACTCCTATTATAATTACTGAAAACAAGTGATAACAGTTTGTGGCAAAGCCAGTTTATTAGGTTTCTGGGATTGTGCCTTGCCTGCCCCCAACACATACAAAACTTTACAGCCTGGTAAAGTGAAAATACACACACACAAAGTATTCAGTACTCTGACATCCATTCTGTGGGCAGAACATCACCACTGAAAGCCAGGGAGCAACACTGAATCCTGCATCACTGACCACACTGCCTTCATGGCAGAACCATTAAAACATGCTTTGTGCTGAACATGGAATTACACACTTGAACACCATTTCCACACAATCTTCATGACATGAGGGCCCTTATTTACAAGTTGTGATAACTCAAATAAAACTTAACAGATGTGCAGGTGTTTCAGATCAAATTTAACAGTAACACTGCAGCTACTGCAGTACACTGCAGTTATTTTCTTACCCCAACCCCCAACCTGACTGACTGGCTTTAAAATTCTTAATTCTGGGATATTTTTTATTTTAAAAAAACCACAAACAACAAAAAACAAAAATCCACAAAAAACCAAATAACAAAAAAACCAAAAAAAAAAAAAAAAAAAAAAAAAAAAACCCAAAAAACAAAAACCACCCCACCATCAAAACTTGCCGACATATTTAGTATACAAATAATTAAGAAGGATCCTTCTGAGAAAAAGGATTAAGGACATGAGTGAAAAACAATCTGTCCAACAGGACTGTAAACCATATTTACTTACCATAGTATAAATATCAATTTAAGATCAATCTTTTTCTTAAAGAAATCATTAAGGACACTAGTGTTAAAAAGGTGATTGTTTCTGAAACAACTGTAAGTTCTAGTCATGTAAGGTTCAGAGTGAATACAAAAGCTCCCTTTTACAAATGTTTCCTAAGCAAAAATACTGTCACAGTTGAAGCAGCTTTATACAGGAAAAAGTATTACCTTTTGTTTAGATTATTTTAAAACACCTTAATCATATTAGACCAAATTAAATGCTCTTTCAAAATCTAGAAAAAAGTCAATGCATTTTTTTCTGTGTAAGTTGCAATGAAATTACATCTTTAGAACTGTAATCGTTTACATAATAATAATGACAGTTACCTTGTTTCAGTAATTTCTTTCTAATGTGATCATTAGGGTGGCAGCTTCTGAACTAGCCCTTCCATTTAGTTTCTAGTAAGCAACACATGCTACACATTGCCAATAAAAAAACCCTTCATTTATACTTCAAAAACTAAGTCCCATGAATGAAGTCATAGATTGCATTCTATGGCTTACATTTCACTTTATGCAACTATGTGCAACTTAGCACCATTTTTATTATGAAACTTGACCTTATTATGAAACTTGATCTTCTGAAAGAACTGAAAAAATGTAGCTGCAAGTATGAGAACACAGAAAAATGTGGTTCAAGAGGAAGAATTTCCCTCATATAACCCCTACCAGCTCACATTAGTAATGCCAAGGATGCCCTGCATACAGTCACAATATTAAGGTTTTTGCTCAAAGATCTGTAACAGATTATCTACTTGGTAGATTTATTCCATATTTCAAGATCCAATTTATTTAGTGTTTGGAAATACTTTAAGAATGTGCCACACTCCTAAACATTCCCATTCCTGAAATATGTTACCAAGTTGTCTTTTCAAGATATTTGAAAGCACTCATGATCTCTTAAAGACCCACAAACCCTAATCTTTGAAAACCAGCATGATTTTGCCAAATTCATCCAATCTTTACTTACTCAACTGTTTTTACTTACCCTGAGACACTCAAATCGAATACAGCACCTTCAGAAATATATACTTTAATTTTAGTAAGATCAGAGAACTTATGGACAGCTAGAGTACCAATTTTACCCTAAATCCTGTGCTACAGTATTTTCCACAACATGGGTGAAACATAACATAGTTTGGTATCACATGCTGATTATGAAAAATTAATGAAGTTTTAAGTATCTAATGACTGTCTAAAGGTAGGGAGAAGTTGGTCAATTCCATCACCACTGCCATGAAGAAACAGACCAAGTTCATAGTGGAATGACAGGCCAAAATTTGCACCAACACTGGCAGCCCAAACTTTGACAGACCTGTTTTTTTTGCTTTTATAATAAAAAGGTACCTGCTTTCTAATTTGCCAGTAGTCACCTAATATTCCTTCATATGCCATAAATCTCCCCACTTGCTGACCCAAACCCCAAGTTCCCTGGTTGACAGGAAAGGCTCTTTCTCCTACATTATTCCAATGCAAGTAGCAACCAAAAGTATTAGTAAACTGGCCTACTATTTATAATCTTATTCAAGTGATGAGAACAACCTCAGGCAGCAAGAGCTCAACTAAAATTGCTTTGTCAAAACTTGACAAAGAGAATATGTTCCCATATATTCATAGTGAAACTTTAGCAATTCAGAAAGTACAATTACAAAGTGCAAGAGCATAGGATGGGCACATCTACACTGGAAAAATTAAAAAAAAAAAAAAAAAAACCACATTAAAGTGCCAAAGAGATTTGCTATAATTGCTACCAAAATCTGGAACTTTGCCAAGATCATAATTTTGAAGCACTTGCAAACAAGACAAGGTGAGAGCCAGTGACAATGAGACCTAACACCAGCAGGATGTGATAGGTTTTGGTTCAGGCTTTATATGTATTTCATCATGATCTGGGGGTTGACTAAGCATTAATGGCTTGTGACTTTTAAGCTTGTGAGCCAGTGTCATGAAAATAGCCTCCACATGGTCATTGTCATTGGGGTTCTTGGCAGAGGTTTCAAACAGTGGCATGCTGTGAGTGTCAGCAAACTTCTGGGCCAGGTCCGTGGGCACCTGAATAGCACTTCTCAGGTCACACTTATTTCCAACCAGAATCCGTGGGATGTCATTGGCAAGGAGGTGCTGTTTGCACTCCTCTATCCAGGACGGCAGGCTGTGGAAACTGGCAAGGTTTGTCATGTCATACACGAACACCACAGCGTGTACATTCCTGTAGTAGTGCTGCACCATGCTCTTCCTGAAGCGCTCCTGGCCTGCAGTATCCCATAGCTGGATCTGAAAACAGAAAGGGAAGGAGAGGAAAAAATGTTTTATTATTCATCTTGGAAAATAACATGAATTACCTACAGTGAGGAGAGTTAGATGATCACAGAAATCTGAATTAATCATACTGACAAGTTTGTGCTGAAGAATACTGTTGCATTCACACAATTTCATCAGCTTTGACTTTCAAAGCTGCTCACAAGTGAGGCCAGGAGGAATGATGAGAGAACTTGAGAGAAAATACAAATTTCTGAAAGTTAATTGGAGCCTGTATTTTTAAAGATTTTTATAAAAACAAATCCTGAAGTCTTAGCAATAGCACTTTTATCAGAAAATTAATATATGTTACTTCCCAATACAACTCTCAGCTGACATGATTTTGTTATTGCCAAAAATAGTTTCATCTTCCCCAAAATTTTGTTGTCAGCATGACATTAACTGCCATGTAAAAGTAGGAAGAAATCAAACCATTCTTGATTTCAACATCACCAACAAAAACAGGACAAAGGAATCTTCCTCTGCAGTGTGCTGGAATCAAACCCTCCTGTGATGAACATCTAACTTGCTTATTTAGTGCTTAAACTAGGACCATACTATGGTTTGTAGTATCAAGGCATGCATACAAGAAAAAAATTAAAAAGTATAAACCTCCTGTTAGCTTAACATGCGATTATCATTTCCAAGTACACACCATTCTGTCCTAATCAGACTGAGCATAGGTGCTAGAAGCTTAGTCAGAACAGAAAGATAGACAGAAGAAATACATAGAGAAGAAAGCAGAAATGTTTTCAAATTTCTGGGTCCAGATTGAAACAAAACAAAACAAAACAAGCTTTGTAGCACCAGCAGATGTAAGCAACAGCTAACAGAAATTTTAAATACATTGATCATCCTGTGTAATGGAAGCCTGGAGTCCTCAGACGTGTAGAGAATGCTACAGAATTGTGCACGGTGGTGTTTACACCAACTTACTCTTCAGGAGACAAGGAACTGCAGTGCAGAGCAGTCAGGATGGAAATTATTAAAACATATGACAATCCAGATCCACGAGTCAATCACAGGATGCTATGAATCAGTCATGTGACAGACTGAAGAATAAAGAGTGAGAGATGTTTCAGATGGTGTGACCTTTTCTGCAGTATTATATTCAACCCTGGTCATCCACACTCAAAAACCCCTCAGACTAGAGCAGGTGGGAATGGCTCCTACTGGTTGCATCAGGGGAACTGAGAATTTGCATGAGAACATCAGAGCAGCCTGGTTGTTGTAGCCTAGTCCAGTTCTCTGCAGCTTTTGATCCAGACACCTAGAAAGACCCATGTGCTGCTTCTGAAAGGGTCATTAAGCTTGCTAGGAAAATCAAGGCAAGTTGCCCTGGCTCTGATCCCATGAAATGGTATTCAGTTGCAATCTGTCTCATCTCAAACCCCCACTTTTTGCCAGTGGTATTGCACTCTACACACAACTGCCAACACCTCCATGAGTCTACACAACTGCACTGAAACAGGCACCTAAGTTTGGGTAAGACTCAGCCACACAGGTGAGACATGCTTCCAGTTCTGTGCACTTATCAAACATCATAAAGTCAGGGGACTCATAGAAAATATTCATGAATTTGAGGAATGAGAAGAAAAAGAAACATAGACTGAAGCAATTCCATGTATAGACAACATGATGTTAAGGAATCAGTATAGATAAATCTTGGAAAATGCTATATCAAATTAATTTAAGGAGGAAGTTAATTTTCACAGGCAGCTGTGAGCTTACAATTCTCTCCCCAATTTATTCACAGAGCAGAAATCGGTCATGCTTCAGTCAAGCAGAGATCTGCAAGTGTCTTACCAGCCTTGGGTAAAGATGGGGAAATTGAATCAAAGGTTTACATAACTTGCAAATGAAGCTTAAACTACAATTCTAAAATTTTGTTTACATGCAGCATTCAAGCTTGAAGGGCATTATCAACTGAGTCATTTGTACTGATAGGTAAATCCTTTCCCAATGTTGAAAACTACACACTTTAGAAGCTCCTTTTTTCCCTCGTTCAAGGTGAACTTGAGGAAATGGTTCTATTTCTGCCTCTCACCACAAATATTTTCTCTTCTGAAAAACAACATTGAAAATGTTCATGTTAATGGGTGTGCACTGATGAAATAATATTAAGATTACTATTTCATTGTTATTCCAGTAATACTCATCTTCAGAGGATCACAGTTTTTAAAACAGCCCTTTAAAATACGTAGGTTGAATGTTTGGTTTAACAGTATAATTCAGCTAATAAAACTGTACAGAATCAGTTGGACAAATGGCATTAAAAATATTAAATACACTGACTCATCTATCACACCCCACCTTCTGATTCTGTTCTGTGGATCCAGAAAGGCTCTTTTCTAAACAAGGACTCACTTTGTATGTGTGGTTTATAACACATTGGTAAAAACATAACTGGCCTCCTTTAAAAAAGACACGGGAAAAAAAATTTGGAATAGCTCAAAGGTACAGAACATGGTGTTCAGACTTTCTTCTTTGAATTTCATTTGCATTTTGCTCTTTTAATGTAGGTCAGTGAAGAGTGACATCATTGTTTTCTTCAATTTTCAATGTTTAGATCAATTGAGGAAGAGGAAAATTTAGAGGGCAGCAAATCCATTTGTCAAAAGTTTTAATTTACTCGTCACATTTAGGCATCAGTGTTTGATATGAAGCTGCCAGCCTACTGTACAAGGAATATACTTGTTCCTATGCCTTGGAATTCTACACAATTGCTGTGTGGGAGACTGTCAGTGAGAAGAACCGTGCTTGTGTTCCTGCCAGTGACACAGCACTTTTCCAGCTGTGAAGGAAACAGTTACTGCTGTAGCAGCACACCCAGCTGGCTGGGGGAAGGGAGAAGGGAGAAGGCACTACTGTATATCCTACTTGGATGCAAGAGGAAAAATTCCCTTCAGGGCACAGCAAGGACTACAATAATTTAGCTCATCAGAGCTCCTCTCTCCTGCTTCAACTGCCGTTGCTGGAGCTGACTGCTACATGTGAGAAAGGTGGAGCTAGAGAAGTTGCCAAAACTGCCCAAAATCAATTCAAATTTGGCAACACTCCCACTAAGAACTACGGTCCCAGCCACAATGATAGAATTTATTCCTTTAATGCTGAAACAGAACTTGCACAAAACAATGTGTCTCAGAAGAGCCCCATTCGCTTCTCCACCCTCCTCAACCAGAACTGGTTTATTTTACAGATCATATTCTCAAAAATGCAGCAAAAAATCTATGAAAACATATTAACAGAATGGCACAATAACCTATGTGAAGCATCTAGGAGCTGTGGATTATGATATGCTCTTCTTCAATTCTCTCCAACAAATATCAGGCATCATGCAGAGTGATGCAAATGCCAGGGAATAAGATGGTGCTGACAAGACAATATCCCTCAGGAGGTCTCTCCTCTGTCATGGACAGCAATGGACAAAGGAGTTCATTTCAGCTGTCAGAGAAGTTCTAGTCTGTAGTTTTACAAAAAAACAAAACAAAACAAAACCCAAACCAAAAAAAACCCTCCTATTCACCTTTTTTTTTTGGCTGAAAAAGGATATGAGATAAAAATCCTGCAAGAGCAGGAAAGCAAATTGGCTTTCCTATTTTTATATATTCTCCATCATTTCTTTAATCAGTAAATAAGCAAGGAAAAACTATAGCTTTCAGCTACATAACTGTAACCTGTAATTATAACGCCCGATGATAATAAATGTCTAAATACAAGCTCAAGACTATTGTTAACTTCCTTTTTCTGCACAAGTGAGCTTTCCTCATGGAAACAAACAGTAATACAGAAGCAGATGGGGATTCTGTTTAAAACCACGTTAGTAAACAAACTGCATTTGTAAGCTGTTATAGAGTGTTCTGCAAATGATGGTTATGATCATCACACAGCAAACTTCACAAGAGTCCTAAAAATTAGAAGCTGATACACATTGCTCAATCCAGAACAATATTCAACTTCCTAGTATTTTTAAAGCAAAATGATCATAACAGTGGCACCTACAGAGCTCTGTGGCGTTGAAGGTTAAAATGACTGTGATGAGAAAGAAGCAGAATTTCTCGGAGGCAAAACGCTGCTGATAACAGGTATAAGACTAAACCTACTACTAAGAGATCTACATGTAAGTCCATTGTAGGGATAAATTACTGATCAACACTTAAGAAAACACGCAAGGTTTGGCCTACGGTGGGAACTGGCTCACCATCACAGAAACCTGCACCGTGACCACCTTTCCAACAGGAGCAAGGCCCAGCAGCGGGACAGTTTCAGGGCAGACACCGCCGCGGCTGCTGGCGACGCGACCCCGCCGAGCGGAACTCGCGGGGTGCGGCGGTGACAGGAGGCCTGGAGCCCCCAGAGCGGGGTGCGGCCCGGGCCACTCCGCTCTCCCGTTTCCCGGCTGGAGCCGGAGCTGGAGCGCGGTGCCAGGCGCTGCCCGAGCCATCCCGCTCTCCCATCTCCCTGCTGGAGCTGGAGCGCGGTGCCAGGCGCTGCCCTTCCGCCCGCCGCCCCCTCAGCCCTGGCGGGCCCCTCAGCACCTTGATGCGCTCTCCGTCGATGGTGACGGCCCGCTCGCGGAAGTCCACGCCGATGGTGGCCTCGGTGCGCTGCGGGAAGCGACCGGCGCAGAAGCGGTAGGTGAGGCACGTCTTGCCCACGTTGGAGTCGCCGATGACGATGATCTTGAAGATGCGCGAGCGGGCGGGGGGCAGCGCGCCGGGGAGCGCCCCGGAGCCCGTCAGGCTCAGCTCCAGCGAGGACTCGACATCTGCCGCCGCCATGGCAGCCCCGGGAGCGCCCCCGGCCCGTGGCTGCCGGCCCCCCGCGGCGCGCGACGCGTCACGGCCCGGCGCGGGCCGGTCTCGCGAGAGCGCGGCGGCCAATCCCCGCGGGCGGGGCCTGCGCGCGCCAGCGCCCGCGCTTGCGTGGCTTGCGTGGCCGCGGCCCGGCGCCAGGGGGCGCTGCCCGCTCGGCCCGGCGCCGTGACGGGGCGGGAACGGGAGCGGCCGGGAATCTCCGGGAACGGCCGGGAATAGCCGTGAACAGCCGGGAATAGGCGCGGCCGCGGCGTGCAGGGGGTCCCTGGTTTATTTATCCCCGTGCCGGCGGCCTGAATGTCGCGGAGTGTGGAATATGTTAGATTTTCTTACGCGTGGTTGTTTGATGTTTGATCTTTGTCTACTTTCCAGCCTAATCAATGGGAGGGAGACTTAATCCATGGAACAGAGTGCTGCTAAGTGATGGCCAGGCGTTCCAAAAACATTATTTGTAGAAATGTCTTGTTAAGGTTTGGGGCTGGACAGGCTTCAATGTTGTCAGATGCAGGGGAGGTTTACAAAGCTTGGGAAGAAGGATGTACCACTGTGGTGTCCCATAGTGCGCACCAAAAGTGCAGAGTTTAGGGGCACAAGGACATCTGGCAGAACTGCCAAGACAAGGCAGAAACAAATGAAGACAAATCTGTAATTGTGCTCCAGCAGGGTAACAGGTGATTCCGGCAGGGACCGATCCCGAGCAACCCACAGAGCACCGACCCCAAAAACCCACCGGCCACAAAGGGGTTAATTACCATGAGAAGAGAGAGAATCATTAACCAACAGAAGATAGAATACTGATTAATAAGAGAATCAGGTGACTTGTAACTAATGAACACTAATCTCTTTGTTTGCTAAAATGTATGAATGGTAAAAAGTTGTGAGAGTTGGGGTGCTTGATCTGTTGAATATCACGGAGCACCAGGTTTGTGCAATCTGAAATAGATGATGTCTCTCTTGAGTAATTATTGGCTTGTTGGACATGAGGTTACAAATCCAGTTTTTGCAGACAACATGATGTCAGAGCCTGAAATAGTTCATGCCTCAAACGTTGAGGCACAAATAGTAAATGAGCCTGAGATCCTGTAGATCAACCTCCATGTGGTTGAAGGACAGTGCTTTGAGCAACCCATTATTACTCATATTAAAACAAGACTAATCAAAACTAAATTTAAAAAGCATTAAAATATCCTGAGTACAGAGCGACTTCAGTTACAGTGCCCATTTTAGCTTTTGTCACTCCCTTTTCCCCTCTTAGACCAATCCCTAAGACTGTAGAGATGTTCCTCCACCGTGTAGTCCTCTTCTGAGACAGGATAATTCCATTTATACTCTCAAATAATTCATTCTTTCAAAGAAGAGCAGTAAATTTATGGAAGGGAGATTATAGGGTGGGAGGAGGAGGTTGTGCCACCCTCAGGTTCCCACTGTCCCTTGCACAGAATTGTTCCTTCTTGCAGCCAGAATGTAAAATGTGTTTGGCTAAGGAGAGGAAGCACAAGCAAGCCCATCTCTCTAAGCCCAATGATCAAAGAAGCAGAGAAATGCTAATTCTAGTGGGGGTTACTCTGATTTGGGCTCTGTCTAGTGTGCTGAAAGGCGAGTTTAAACAGCTGCTCACAGGGTCTGCCAACAGCTCGTTTAACTGATTTTGTTCTGGGTTGTGCCAGGAGGGCCAAAGTGGATCAGAATTAGATCTGAGCTCTTCAACAGCTCTTAACTTCTTTTATTTCAACAGCCAGGACTTTAAATGGCAGAATCAACGCACCACCTAGTGGCTGAGGGCATTCCTAGTCTTTAGTACTCGGCGAATTTTAAATGAACATCCCCAACACCTTACCAGTGAATTTGGCTCACGATGCTGCCAACAGCCACCACAGTTCCTGTTTTGTTAGCCCGGAGACAGAGAGAACCTCCTTCACGGGGAACACAGCTGGCCCCTGAAGCAATGGACTGAGTGTAAATAACCTAATTTAAACCTGAGAGTTTAAATTTTGTCTCAGATGTGGACGCTTTTATGTGAGCTATTTCAGTGTGGCACTGGAAATTTCATCACTTCTCTTGTATTTGAAGGAATAAAGATGTTGATTAGATCCTTACATTTCATCCAGCACAGACTATTTCTGGATATTCCTCTTCCTTTCTAATCTAGTTGGAAACCAGCAAATATAATTGAATTTATGTATCATAACAGAATAAATTAAAAATGCTTCTTGCTATGAAAGCATTTGAAAAAGCATTTGGTTTTCTTCTTTTGCAAGGACAAGTACTTTTAATGTGCTCTTCAGATATGCTCAGTGAATGAACATATAAGAGCTTGAATTCACAGCTATTTTTATTTAGCAGATGTAGAATTTTCTAAGAAAGGATTCTGAAAATAGTTGCAAGTCTCTGCACTTGCTTAGTATTTCAAGAACAGTTATTTCTGTTGGAAATATTCTGGAATATTTTAACATGTTAGTCCCATGAAAATGCAGAGTGTTCAACATTTTAAAATTGTGTCTACTAGGTTCTAAGTTAAGGAATAAATTAGGGGGGGAAAGTGTAAATCTAAGGTTGTCTCATTTACTTGGGGTTTTTTTCTGAAGGGATCAAAAAGTTTCCAGGTGATTTAATGACCAGTAGTTCAAAAATGCTTTTAGAGTTTCTTTAAAGCTTTTTTTTAAAGTTTTGCAGAGATACTGTACCTCTGACTTCTTGTGGGGCTTTGGTGTGAGGCTTCACATCCTCCATTTTTGCAGGAAAAAGTCCCATGCTTTTGCAAGGGAAAGTTCTACTATTGCAAGGCTTGGCTCTGCAAGTAAGGAGAGTTTGACCCCCTCACTAACATGTTCCTTTATAAAAAAATACAGATGGCAGAAATGTTGGAGAAGCAAAGAACAGCTTTTTAAGAGATGGGGTTCAAGGACCCTGTATGTCAGGCTGAAAAAGCAAGTGTTAACATCACAAAGTCGAATGTCTCATCTATCTTTGCACTGAAATGAAGTTTTGACACAGCTGTTTTACTGCCAGTTACCAGAATGTGCATTTAATATTCACTTCCATGCCCTTGTTCTTGTCCAAATTATAAACCAAAAAGTTTTCTGAAAATTAAAAACAATAAAACCTTTCTCATTTCTATTTTGTGCTTGGATATTTTCCGCATTGCATGCCTGGAACGAGCCTCGGGGCTGTCTGCATAGCTGATGTGACAGCTGAGTAACTTCTGTGTCAAGAGCTTGGCACAGGAGCCTGGGCTCTTCACACATCCCAGTGCTGTAGCAGCCCTGCCTGCACATCCTGGCTCTGGTGCTGGGCATGCCCTGTGCGCTGGTGGGATGGCTCATCCAAGGGGAATCAGAAAAAACAGGGAGCATCCTTCCAGCAGAGCTGCAGACCAGCCGTGAGCAGCAAAGTGTGTGTTAAACCGAAACGTGTTTCCCTGCTTTCTCTGTCCCTGTCGTTGCACATGCTGTGCTTAAGGGTGTCTGCATGTCCCAAGGGGTCATCAAATGCCACGAGGCTTCTATATTTACCTCTCTGCACCAATGCCCCAATAAATCATCCCCAGGCAGAAAACAAACCCAGTTGTACTGTGATTTGCCTGCATGCTGAGACCTTGACTCACAAGACTTTAGTGTAAGGATATATTATGCATTTCATTATCTGGTAACAAGCTTTTCTTCCAATAGTTTAATCTCAGGATGTGGTTTTGTTACTCATTTCTCTCCTTCCCCACTGACCTTGGTTTCTCCATGTTGTTTTCCTTCACGTGCTCTCACCTCCTCTTCTTCTCTGACTAGGAGAAAAAAACTCCTGACTTTCTTTTGATTTTCTTCTTAAATGTCATCACAGAGACATTACCAACCTCTCTAATTAGCCCAGCCTTGGCCAGCAGCATGTCCATCTTCAAAGCCATCAGAGATTTGCTCTGCTGGACACGGTGGAATATTCCAGGAGCTTTCCACAGGAGCCATCTCTGTGGCTCCCCTGCTAGCAAAAACCAGGCTATGCAAAACCAATACACTTGGGAAAACAAACACCATCACTCCCAATGTTCCCCCTTTCATCCTTCTTCCCCTCACTTTATATAGTGAGCATGGTGCCACATGGTTTGGAATGTCCCTTTGGTCAGTTGGGGTCACCTGTCCAGGCTGAGTCCCCTCCCAGCCACCCCCAAATTCCTCACCAGTGTGGCAGCACAAAAAGCAGAGAAGTCCCTGGCTCTGTGTAAGCTCTGCTCAGCAATAACAAAAACATCTCTGTGTTATCAACCCTGTGTTCAGCACAAATCCAAAACACAGCCCCATAGCAGCCACTGGCACTGCACCAAGGACACCCCCTCTGAAAGAACATCAGTCTTCAATGTGTCAGCCACAAATACCTGCTTTTTGAGAAGGCTGCAGGTGAGGGAATATTCAAAAGCAAATACTGTGATGTATTTGTGCTATTGAAAATATTATGATCTCACCAGGAAGAACAATTTATAATGTATGTAGAAAAAGAAAAACATCCCCAAACCAGATAGGGCCCATGCATCTGATAGTATCCATAGGTATGAGACAAAAGCTTATTTTCCTGGTGGTTTGCTAAGATGTCCTTTCAGATATCAGATTTATATAATTTTTACTGTGTTCAGAGTATAATCCTTATAAATATAGATAAATACTGCTTATTACTTATTCCAGTGGCCTCAGTCTTTTCTCTCTCCTTAACACTTGGTAACAGCCAGTGACTGCAGCCTCACACTGAGCTCAATTTGCCTCCTCAGCTTCAGCCTAGCTGCAGCACAAGGCTTTTCCTCCATATAGGTAAATTTAGGTTACCATATGTTTTTCATGCAGCTTATATGCAATTTGTGTACCTCTCAATAATTTAGAAAAGGCAGGATGGTTTCAGTGCCAGCAGGGTCCTGCAATATTAAAGAGAACATAAAGGACATGGTGAAAAAATGCTCATCAGAGGACAAGAATTCAAAAGCACAAACAAGTTCA